GAAAGGAAGAGAAAAGAAAATGAAAAGAAAATGAAAAGAAAGGAAGAGAAAAGAAAGGAAGAGAAAAGAAAATGAGAAATGATGAATGATCTATGGTAAAACAAAGCTGAAAGTTTTGGTATAGGCCAAGGTTGTAGAATCTGTGGAAAATCAGTGCTAGACATAGCCTCATCTCTGGTAATATGAGCCAAAATAGTTATCTGTCTTTTCTGGCCGAGAGTTACAATACACAGCACCTCCAAGCTCAGTTGCCATGAACATAAGGTATTCTTCCCAAGATTTACATCTTCAAAATATATGAACTGTTCATAAGCGATTCCCAGGCGTTTAGTATTTCAGATGCTTTTCTCAATCTTGTAATTGAAGAATTTTGGAATCAGTCTTTCTGTTGAAATACAGAGCTTCTAGATTCTGTCCAATGATGACAGTTTGTGTTTAGCTCCTTGCCTTGGGTTCTTCCCAGCACTTCTTCCTGGCTCAGCTAAGGCTTGAGTGCGTGGTAATCAGGAAGAAAACATTACCAGTCAGTTCTGCAAGTAGTTACAGAGCTCTGTGATCACCTGAAACTCAGGTACACTTGACAGTAGGTCAGTTCAGTAGGTTGTTTTTAGGGTTCAGGATGAGTTTATTAATACCCCGGAGTGAAGTTGCTGCCATGTACTTTATGTAGAGATAGCAGCTTCTGTCCTTAACTCGTGAAGCAGTTTTTCTGGAAGCATTCTGGTTTTAGCTGTTTGCATTTTTTGCCAATATCTGATCAGTCAGCTGTGAAATCTCACTTCAAATTAAAAGTTTGCAATTTGGCCATGAATACTGTTGGGTGGTCAAAGCTGTGTCCTTTCCACTCGTCATGACAATCGTTCCTGTTGAGCTGTGAGAAGGACAGGAAGCTTCTTCATTTCTGTGGGTTCTGGTGTCTGGTGCCTTCAGTGTGTTAAGGAATGGCAGAAGGCACGGCCTGAATGTCAAGCTGAGGCCAGCATTAAAGGGGATGGAGCAGAGTGCCTTTCCTGATACTGCAACTGCTGGGGAGAGAAACACAAGGTGAACAGAGGAGTTGTCTTCTGACAGCACAGTGATGTGAAAGAGCAGCAAGTGAAGGACGAGGGGCACACAGGGAAATGGGTGGAAATGTTGCAGTCAGACCACTCCAGAATACGGAGTTGGGACCTGAATGTTAAATTCTAGACATCTGTGCCTGTTGGTAACTCAAAAGGAGGTCTGATGGCCCTAAATAAGCATCTATTGAAGGAGCTGTTCCTCGGGAAGATGGCAGCTCCCTGCTGCTGCTGTATAGTCCAAGTGACTTGAATTTTGGGTTTGGAATGTCATTGGGTTGAGTTCAAGTTGTGCTTGTAAATCATGTGAAGTCCTCGAGTGAGGGAACAAGAGTCTACATGCACTAACTTGTGAGCTAACATTTTAGTTATGTGTTGCCCATCCAGAGACTTCCCTGCCATTCTTGGTCTCTGAGCAGAAGAGAGGGCTGTCATCTCTGCAGGAGTTGCCACACAAATGGGCAATTTCAGGGATCTGAAGGGAAAGCTTCAAGGTTAATGCAGGGAGTGTTACTGTTTGCTGGTGGTATTCTGTGGTGCTTGGTTGGGAGGCTGGGACCTGGTTTATATTGCTGCAAGAAAGCTGTGGGTCCTCAGATCCCAGATGTCTCAGAGTGGATGTCATAAATCTGTGGACACTTTTTCCATCAGCTTCTGCCCTTGTATTTTTTATTTGCACAGTGTGGAAAATCCTATTGCCCTTCATAATACTATTGTAAAGGCAGTCCTCACAACTTTAAAATCCTCTGATATGGTGGCATATTCTGTATAAAAGGGACATAGAAATAATTTATACCGAGCAGGGAATGATATGGCATGATAGGCAACAATAGGCACATACCCAATGACTTTATAGAAATATTGCTGGTTTTATCTTCAGCTGCTTGAATGAGAGTTGTAAGCCATATTTCTGACATTAACCTGAAGTCATATAAAGCCAGACAAATGCAGTGGCTTTTTTTTTTTTGACCTTTTGCTTCTGCTTGTGTTTTAAATGGTCGGTGTTTTTGAAGGACATTTGTACACATTCTGCTTGCTCATGTCCACTGGAAGGAAAATTAGCAATGATCTTTGTAGAATGCTATTAAAACTGCATCTGAAACAAGACAGGGAAACTTATTTTGTCTAGGAGTGAATTGTAAAGGTTCTTCTGTTTCCTATAACGGTTTTATTAGTAAAATATGGAGGTGTAAAACTTCCTACTCAGGGTCAGTTCTGCAGTCAACATGAATTTGAGATGGACAGTGACTCACTGTCTGTGGCACCCTGTTTTCCCATTCCCACTGATAGCTGAGGGTCTCATTTTGAAGGGAAGTGTTGGGTGAAATCCTGATTCTACTGCAGCCAAAGTAAAAAGAAACCAACCCTAAACTGTTGAAGTCAGTGAGAATAGGGTGCCCTGAAGTCCAGTGCCTTCCTCTTGTCAGCCAGCTGGTTTTCTCATTGAAGATGGCAGAATGGCTGCAGTATGTGAAATAACATTTTTGTGATGTTCATTGCCTTGGAAAGTACAGATAAAAATGCAGCTTTACAGTGCACACTACGTGATGGTGTTAGACACAAAACAGGCAGACACATGATCTTCTCTACAACTAATCAGAATCTTTTTGCTGTCTCCATACGTGTTTTTCCCAGGGTGCTAGGATGGTAAATATTTTAGCAGAGGGAATTAACTCTACTTCTCTTCCTTTATGTTCTGTTATCAACGGGACTAGCCCACACCCTCACTTCGCCTCATTTTTGGCTCTGTTTCTAAACCCTAAAATTCCTGTTCTTGCATTGAAACACAATTAAATCGAGGCTTAATGTGGTGCCTGTTTTATGTAATCTGCTTTCTGGCTTTTTTTATTCTTCCAAGTCTGAATCTCATGAATCAATTTGTATTCATGTTTTCATCTGAAATTTTCTAACTCTTCTCAGTGTGCCCTACAGCTTCCCTTTTTTGGTTCACGAAATAACAATAAAAAGCTTAACGTTACAGATTAAGTTGTAACTGGTTTATACATTAGACAGACAATTTCAGTTTAACAAAGTAAAAATGGTGTGAGAGAGAAATTGCAGCTTGATTATTTTTTTTTAAATATTCAGATTAGAATGTCATCTTTTATGAGTTTTTTTTATAACCACTTAGATTGATATAACTCTCTAAAGCTGCTCTGTTTTTCATCACACATTCTCATCAGTAAAACCTTCATTTTTATTAATCTTTGTACAATCTGTACAAGTTTGAGATTAATCATTTAAAAGAGCTACTCTCTGGGTGCTGGGGATGTGCTGGGCTGAGGGTAAATGCAGGCACTTCTCAGTGCTCTGCAACACTGTTGCTTGCTTAGCATTTTGCCTTGCAAGTATCAGTCTTTGTTGCCCAGTTATCTAGAGTTGCATTGTATGGATGTGTTTCCAGGTCTGTTTCTGGCTGCCTAGAACCAGAGAACAAAATACTGAGTCGTTGTTTCACCAGCTAACGTGATGAATTGCAAATATTTGTAGTCCAGTTCTGCCCGTGTCCTCTTCCCATGGAAGTTAAAGGGAATTGTCTATTTACAAGCAAAGGCAGAAACAAACTGTGAAGCCAAGTCCTTCAGTCTTTACTCAAACAGAAATTCCTGCTAGATCCTGACAGGCCAGTTGGCTGCATCCAGCCTTACTTAGCACTTGAGTCCTTTTAGGACTTGTGGAAGGACTGGTCTAGTGTCTCTCCCAGGTACAGCTAAGCCTTACTAGGCTTTTTTTTCCTTTTCCTTCCACTGCTCGTGCCTTGGTTACCCCCCTGGCCTCAGCTTGAATTTCTGCTGGGGCTGCTCAGCCTCTGGAGCTTTGGCCATGCTAACAGCTGTGCTTGGGGGGCACAACCCTGGGGCATGGGGGCATTGCCTGAGCAGCCCACCCTGTGGGAGGGAACGCGTGGGCCTGCTGCAGAAGCCTCTTTCTCCTGAGGTATCAATGTTTACCTGCCCTGAACTATGTCAGCTCATCTGAACAGCATGGCACCATCTCTAATGTGCCATCTTTTTAATTCACAGTGCGGATGCTGTTAGAGGATCTGGGATGTACAGTGCAGCCATCGTAGTGCTTTGGTGAAGGTCTGGAATGTTACCTGGTCTGGAGAGTGTACTGGGACAATTTTTTGTTATTATTTGTATACATCTTATGACCTATCTGTGTGAGGTGTTTTCTGTTTGTCTGTTTAAACACGGAATGCCTGACAGGAGAAGTTAAAAGCTGAGGGATCTCCTACCCTCTGAAGATTCTCATTTACTCGATGTACTGGAGACATATATCCATTGGTTACTTGCATTGTTCACATGCAATCATTATCTTTTGTAGGCAGTAGACATTTGAGTTTCAGCAGTGTATTCAGGAGATTTATATTTGCTGTCAGAGCTTATATTCTAGTATATAAGCTACAAGCATCATAAAGCAAGCCTGCTGTGTGAAGCATAACATATGTTTTGTGGCATACATCATGGGTACACAGAGCAAAAAAATCGTGTTTCACAGTAAGGTTACTACTGATGGAAGGTGACGTTCAAGAGAGCAGTGGTGGGGACTGGTTTTGAGCCCCCTCTTCAGCATTCACGTTTCTCCATTCATCAGGAGGAGCAGTCACCTGTCAATTTCTATCTCCACAAAGAACAGATTATTCCGTAGTGAATAAATATCACCTTAAGCACAAAATCTCAGTTTTGCACTTATCATCTCATGACCAACCAGCCAGCGCTGATGAGATGGGAACCACGATTCCTGCTTGCTAGAACATTTCTCAAAGAGAGCTGTTTAAATAGATGGCTCTTCACCTCTTAGTGTTCCATGAGTCAAGAAGCTCTGAAAAGTTTCTATCTTCTAAGTGTAGCAGTTCTGTGTAAAGCTATAATGAAGTATAATTAGAAATAATGGGAGGAAATACAAACAAGGCTGAATGTTGAGGAAACCATCCCAAACATGCAATGAAAACTGAGGCGAAGAACATCCAGAAGACAACTCTCGCTCACAGAGTCACTCTTGAGGGCACAGGCAGGCTCTCTGTTCTGTTCTTATTCCTGGGAGGAGTTACTTCAGAACCAAATGCTTTTTGCAGAAGAATTCAACACTGGAAGTTGGAAAAGGTGAATTTGGAGGAGAAGTTAGGTTGTGTTTGGTGCCATAACATTTTACTGTATATTACTGTTCCTCCTTTAAAGTTTCAGCCCTGCAAATTCTTATCTGAGTTGGTGTCTCTTGTTACTAGCACAGGCATGGAGTGAAAGCACACACAGCTACTCAGGGTAACTGGAGCTGCAGTTCGTATTTAGCCTTTATTTATTGATACATTACAGATCAGTGATAGCTTCTACTGCAGGAGTTCCTCCTTATTAATGCATGTTCTCATCAAATTTCTATGTTAATTTGTGATTAACATGAGTATCATGATGGGCTTGGTACTTTTCAACTTCTGTTTTATCAACTATGGGCTTTGCTGCTCTTTGAAAGGGTAGATAAAGCAGGACAAAGGGAAATGGTTTTAAGTTGAGGGGAGGAAGATTTAGGGGAAAGTTCTTCACAGAGAGAGTGGTGAGGTGCTGGAACAGCTGCCCAAAGAGGCTGTGGATGCCCCATCCATCCCTGGAGGTGTTCAAGGCCAGGTTGGATGGGGTCCTGGGCAGCCTGGGCTGGTATTGAATGTGGAGGTTGGTGGCCCTGCATGTGGCAGGAGGGTTGGAGCTTCGTGATCCTTGAGGTCCTTTCCAACCCTGCCCATGCTGTGATTCTGTAAATGGAGAGGAAAATTCAGTGCTGGTGGAAAATGTGAGTTGTGCAAATGTTATTTGTATTATGGAACAAAAGGCCACATCTGGACCCTGAGCAGAGAGAAGAACCTGTTTAGTTAGAAATGGTATGTGTCTAGAGAAGTGTTTAATGCATCTAAATCACCTAACAGTATATTTTTTTCTCTTATTATTAAACATAATATTGCAGATCAAAGATACTTCATTGCCAGTACCCAAAGGCTTATTTCATTATAATTACCTGGTTGGCGCCTAAAATTGAAACAACACAGTATGCTTTCCTAGAAAGTGCAGCCTTTGTTTTGAGCAGCCAGGTGGAGCCAGGATTTGAATCTAGTGTTTTAAGCAGCAAAGGACTCGAACTAGAGGAACACATGTGCCAGGTGGCAGCCTGCAGGCCGCTAAGTGGAGGAATAACAAGGAATGTGACCCACGTGCTGGAGTAACAGCAGTTCACAAATAGTGCTCCCTTCCTCTTTTGCAAAGTTCACAAACTGTTGAAACATCTCCCGCATTCCAGTTCCACTGGCTGTTCTGCAAATCACTTAAGAGGTTTAAAACTTCCTTGTAATTCTACTCTGCACATGAACTTTGAGTGAAGAGAAAGGAAGGCACAGTGAAACGAGAGCCTGGGCCTCAGGGACCCCTTAAAATTGCTATTGCAAGCATTTGGCAAAGACTGGGATAACATCCTATGTATCCATCTTTGTCCCTCGCTCTGTGCCCTTGGGCTTTGTTCTGGGCTTTCTAATTTCTAGTGCAGTGTGAAATATGAACATTTACTGTTGCCAGTGTCCATTAATACATGTGGCAATGTCCACACTGATCTAACATACTCTTTTAAAGTATATTTATATTATTTTATCATTAAGAAAGTCACAAGCAGGAAAAAAAAACACACAACCTGCAATATTCCTAATGTTCTAGACAGAAGAGTGCAAGATTATGAAAAATAAACAGAAATAGATAAATATGTGGCTGATTCACCCTGAAAACACAGCATAAGTTACACATTTTTAAAATTGTCATGATGCTGCATGAGGAATGCCAATAATGTACGCTTTTTTTTTTTTTTTTCTTTTTAATAAAGGGTTAATTTGTAGTGCATCCTGCAAGCAGATATGTGGGATAAATAGTTTGGACACTGATTTGTAATCTCTGTTTATGAGTACATGACTGCTGTTCTTATAAATGTCATCACTTTCTTGGTAGTATCTGGTAATATCTGAGTCATGAAGTGCTGACAAAAATCCACTGCACTTAATGTGAAACTTGAAGCATTTTGCTCATTCCAAAAGATATTAGCAATAGCCAGCCCCACATTTAGCTGATAAATAATGTGTACATGTGCCCATGACACAGTTATGCTGCTATGTGGATTTTTCCCCCTTACCTAGGATCTTTGTGGAAACACATCAGAGTTCAAATCATGAAGTGTTTTTTTCCTTTTCTTTTTCTTTTTTTTTTTTTTTTTCTGGACTGTCTTAAGGGATGCTAACAGTTGTGTGTGTGCAGCCTGTGCATCGTGCTATAAGGAAGCAGGTCCACGTGAAGGTGGAGCAGGCTTCCTTTGCTGAATTCCACTTGAGCTTGGATATCCTGCTATGAAAACAAACTCTACATATGTTATCACCAAGTTAAGAAATTAAACATCTCACATGGAGCAAAGTACTGAAAAATATTTCATTTCTCCTTTCTTTATTTGCAGCCATACGACAGGATATGAAAATGAGAACCACAGTGCTCCCATGTTATACAGCTGTGGGGCCCAATACAGAATACACACCCACGGAGTTTTTAGAGGCATACAAGTAAGTATAGTAGGGCATTATTCACAGGGCAGTAACACTGCTGCCTGTCTGTAATGTCCATTTACTACTTTACCAGTATTTATAAATTCAATTTTGATTTGAGTTTCCCTGTGGCATTAAGAAATGGTTGACATTAAGTGTTGTGACTTCACTGAAACCACTGAAGTATAATGTAAGATTTCTTTCTGACACAGTCATTTCAAATTGTTTATTTCTAAAAGATATTTGTGAGGCAGTATTTCTTACCAGCTGCTCCAGATGGTCCAAAATAGATTCAGCTTGCATCTTCTAGCTCCAGCCTCTTTGGCCGTGTTGAACTTGTGTTACAATGGACTAAGTCTGATAACTGTGTAAGAAAGTGCTAGATGACAGCTTGCTTTTAAGCATTTCCAAAGCTTTACTAATTCAAACACATTTCCTTAAAACAAAAATAATATAAGAAATGATTGATTCCTAATGACTAGAGAAAATATTTGGAAGGAATTTTTCATTCATGGAAGTGAATTTCCTCTTTTTCTGAAACAGTTATATCGCCAACAAATACCACTGTAAAAGATACAGCTTCTTAAAACCGATGGAAAAATCATCACATAACATTTGCCTCTTATGTGTTGCTCCTTCTGTGTAATCAGAGTAGATGGAAGTTTTTAGTTGGCATTTTTTTCTCCTTTTTCTGTTCTGTATTGGTTTCACAAGTCACTATTCAGTAGCAAACTCTCAGAAACAGGTTTGTGAGCCTGCTTTTTGCTGAGTAAATAAAAGTAAGCAGCTGACATGCTTACGGAAGCTCACTGTGCCAGGAGGAGAAGATGGTCTTTGGTGGTGGAACATTTGGTGGACGATGGCCAAAACTCATTGAAGCCAATCTGTTCACCAGCTCCACCAGTCTTTCTTGTTTGATTTTTTTAACAATTTGTATTAACCCAATACATTTATTTGTCTGCACCTTAATTCCATATGGATATTTAATGTAATACAGTGTTACTTTGGCTAATGCTCTCATCTATATGGTGGTATATACTTAAAACTATTTCTTATGCCAGTCAGTCTTACTTCCAGGATTGTGTGATTATATCTGAGGTCAGAATATTTAATCTTGCATATAAATATTAATGAGATAATTTTGAGTTCACTGTTTCACCTTCATATAATTTTAATGCTTTGGAAATAACAGATTAAGATACACTGATGTTGTAGTTCATTAAAATGTAGACTAAGTTACTGTTTGCGGTGTGGTGTATTTAAGCATTTCTTGTCTCGGAGAAGCGCCTCTGACTGTTTGCCTTTCGATTTGCTGAGCACAAGCTTGTGAACATTCACATCACATTAGCAAGTGTGTGCCATTGTAGGATGTGCGACGAGTGCCAGGAGTAGCTCCGACCATTGTCCGGTCAGCCAGCGAGACAAATGAGAAACGTCCCTTCATGTGCGCCTACCCCGGCTGTAACAAGCGATACTTCAAGCTGTCCCACCTACAGATGCACAGCAGAAAGCACACTGGTAAGGGATGGCATCGAATGGCATACATCATGGTACGGTGGGCATACGGTGCAAGAAATGCTCTACCAGCTCTGGGGCAGGGAGACTCTATTAGTTGAGGGGTGTATGTGCTCTGTCATCTGGGCAGCCCCTCTTTGGGATGCAAAAGACTGTCTGTGAATCCGCTGAAGTAAAACACAGAGCAGTGCTGACAGCAAGTAGATCACCTCCCTCCCTCTCTTACTGTTACAGGGCAGCATTCAGGGCTGTGATTTTTATTTTTATTTTTTAAATTTAGAAGCTTGCTCCAAAATTTAACTGTTGTTAGCTATGAAGAAGTTTCTTCTGCAAGAGCAAATGAGACATTTGCTATAATCTCGTCCCCCTGTATAAACCTTGCCTGGTTGGGGTTGGACGCAGGGACTGGCAAAGGAGTGTATTTGCTGTGGGATCATCCCATGAAGAATTGAGCTAGAAGGCAGTGATTTGTATGGTAAGATCTGAGTTTTCTTTGAATTCAGGCCATTCAGTTTGCATCTGAAAATGTGGAAATAAAATGCGCTGCGGTACCTTGCAAAAGATTAAAAGGGACTATTTCCCCTATGTGAAGATTTACAGTGTTGAAAATATATAATGATATCTTTAGATATGCTCCTTATGCATGCTTTTGTTGCCTATCACATTTCTATTTAGACAGCTTTTCTGTGCTGATTAGAAACCTGTGAATAAAATCTGTAAATATGGTTGTTCAGTCGACCTATGACAAAAGGTGAAAAGGATGAAACAGACAACAGACAACTGTCAAGACTTAGCAGATTGACAGATATTTCATTAAAAAATAGTTGCACACTTTTCCTTTTGGATACCATATGCTGACATTAGTTACTTGCATATAACAATGACAGGTAAGAACTGAACATTACAAAGCATTTTTGATTTCTGAATACGCAAGTCACAAAATAGTCTGACAGAGATCTTCAGTTTTGCTAAAATTACAGATATAATTTAGATTGCAACTGGAATTCAGTCTTTAGAACCAAAGGTCTACAGAAGTGTTATTATATTTTCTGTAAATAAATTTGAAACAGAAAATAATTTGGAGATGTTTTGGGGTGCATTAACAGCAGTATTTTTCTTGAGTATTCCTAAACAGTTCTGAATCTTTCTCCTAATCACTACTTCTTTCATTCCTAGGTTGATTCACTCTTTACCTTAGCAATCACAATCATTCTGTTTCTGTATTTTATTCCAGTTAGTTGCTTGGCTTTCACAATATTATTCCTGGATACCCCCATAGGAACTTCTGCTTACATCTTTTTTTTTTTTTAAAGTGTTAATCTTAATCTAAAGGGGATATCCAGCATTCTATAATCTAGCTGTGTAGAGTCACAAAAGCCCCAGACAAGATAGAGAATAGGACTGTAACAGCCTAGCATCCCGACAGAGACTTCTTCTCTTGTATTTGAGGTCATAAACAGCTTTCCTTCTCCTTTGGTTTATGCTATAGTGGAAAAGAAGAGAGAAAAACATTTTATTTCCCCTCAGACATCTCTTCTTTACAGATATACCCAAATCCTTCTGCCATTACACTGTGTTATGTTGACAATAAAACTTGTTTTTTCTCCACCTAACCTTTGCAAGTTGCTTTCTGTTAGGGGTGAGTTTGACACCCAGAGCTTGTCTTTGCTGATAATAATGTAGTGATAGATAACACCACATGAACTTCCAAGGTTGCTTGGAGCTAAAGAGAGGAAGCAAGGGGAAATTGCACTGCTGGTGCGAGTGTTGCTTGGGTAACTGGTTAAACTGTATGGCTGAGGCATTCAGGTTTAGGATCAGAAAGGAGTTTGCCCCTTTGTCAGACTGGCAGGGACAGTTAGGTTTCCATCCTCCAGCTTGTTGCATGAGCACTAACCATTTCCTATAACTATTATCTGGAAATTTTACTTACTAAATTCCCAGCTGCTTGTAGATTCCTAAGGCATGATGCCCTTCATTTCTTCTATCTTCCTGTAGCCTGTTATTCCTAGCTTTTATGAGTGCTTTGTGAACTATACTGTGTGGGAGCATGTGGAGTGGATAGACCCAACACTTCTGAGTTAACACGTTTTCTTGGCTGCGTGGTACAGTGGAAGGTGTGGATTTGGTGCCCATGTGGTCCTTGCCAGTCCCATGCTCTTCTGTAATCCTGGGCAGCTGAACTGACTGTTTGTGTGCAGAGCCGTTTCCAGCCTCCGAGTTAACTTCATGTCCTTCTTTGTCTGACCCTGATCTGTGGCTCCTTCTTGTGGAAAACCTCATTGTCAAAAGAACACGCGGCAGTGGCACGAAGCTGCACCAGGAGAGGTTCAAATTGGACATCAGAAAATGTTTCCTTATCGTGAGGGTGGTCAGGCACTGGAACAAGGCTTGGTGCCCTGCGCCTGTCAGTGTTCAAGGGGCATTTGGATGAGATGCTGTAACCTTTGGTTAGCACTGAAAGGGTCAGGCAGCTGAACTTGGTGATACTAGAAGTGCCCTTCCTACAGAGCTGTTGTCTCCAAGAGCAGATCAGCCACTGCTAGCAGGAATGTGTGTGTTTTATTGCTAACAGTTGCGATTGCTACAGTTCACACTTACCATCTTCCTGTTCTCCACCTCTTTGATTTTATGTGAGGGGATGTCTTAAGTGTGATTAAGATGAGGCTGCTGGTATATGTTGATAATTATAATTAAGATGAAGCTGCTGGTATTTGTTGATAATCATGTAGCTGTCTCTTAGGCTCTCATGTCACTTTTCTGCCTGTATGAATTCCAACCCATACCACTGCTCTAGAGTTCACTGCAAAGCATAGAAATTGGGTTTGCTGGAATCAGCATACTCACTTAGATGGAAAGAAGCTGGTGAATGTAATACCTAGTACATACTACATCTTCTTCCACTCTGGTGTTTTAATGGGGAATCCTGACAAGCCATTTTGAGGTTAGAGAACTGTCAGATAGTAGCTCAAGTGGAGGATTGTTTGTTTGGGATACCTCTTTACAGCCAATATATTTTACTCATTTACTCACAGGATTTTACTCATCCTCCTGTAAGGTGGTCCTGTATTCACTCATGAGTTTGAAGCCCTTCCCACCTTTCTTAGTAGGTCAGTTCTTTAATTATGGACACACAATTTGAAAACAAGATTGTTACATATACCTGATATTAGAAAAACAGATTATATCATTATGAAATAATGTTCACTTCTGCTTATCTTTTTGTTTTCTGTCATAAATATTTGCAGAGAACTTGGCTCATCAGATCTGCCATTCACTGGTTGCAGTATTGCAAAATCAAACAGGGCCCTGCCACACAGAACTGGTTTCTGTAATCTGTTTTTACCACTAATGAAAAACAGTATTTTTGTAGAGAAAATACTCTCTGCCTTTTTGCTGGGGATATTCTTCAGCCTACATGTGCTCAACTGCAGGTATCAGTTTCTACAATGAAGTATGACAGTGTGTAATTAAGAAAGTAAATACTTTATGTGGCAGGGGGTAGCTATTGGAAGTGAATTGCTGAGACTCTGGGCAGCACAGAAATGCAGATAAATAACCAATTTCTTGCTAATTACCTCAGAACAGATTTCTTTGCTTTGACTAACAAAATATCTTTTCTTTATGGCATGTGTGACCATGCTGCTAAGTGCCTTACAGTCATTAACACAGTTCATCATTACAGTACCTTTGAAAGACAGAGCTCTATCTTCTGCGTAAGCAGAAGGTAAGTGGGTGCTCTTGTGCTTGAGTTAGGAACTGCACAGCCCCCTGAAGCATCCAGTGCAGTGATTTACAGGATAGCACTTTTAGTCAATGTTGCTTTGAAATAATGAAATAATCCCATTTCTGGGGGATGAAATAAAAATATTTGTGTGTTTAAAATATGAGATCTGCTTTTGCAAAAATAATGAGATTATCTCACACCTGAGCTCTGGTGTGAAAATGATAAAAAACATTACCTATAAATAACCTGTACTAAATAGAAAAACATAAGTTTTCTGAGTTTGCTAAAGCAAACTGTTGAACAGAAACACCTTAGTGCAGTAAAGCTGTGATGATGGGGATTGTGCATGTTTGATTAGTCGGGTGTAGAAGAAAAGCAGCTGAAGTTGGTGAAGTGAGTATAGACAAGCTTTCAGATACTCATTAAGACTGGCTGTCTTTTGTTTCAAAATTGGCCTCCTCTCCCCATGTTCTCTGGTTAGCAACAAGCTTCTGCTCTTGCTGTGTGCCTTAATGAAATTAAATGATTAGGAATATTTGTACAACTACTGCAGCAGTGGGAATTTCTGTTTTCCCATGTGTCTGTGCGGATTAATTTGCAGCAGAGATGTGCATGCTTCTTCTAGGTTGAATTAACCTGCTTTGAGCAAAAAGGTTTGTTTTATTAATTGTATTTATTGCAACGAATGCAAAGGCTGATTCAGACTTGTTCTGTGATTATTGAGCTTATTTTTTTCTAAATATTTTTCTGAATAGCATGCCAGTACTGCTATTCCATCCATCCTCTCATTGTACACAAAGCTTAGCCTTTTTTGTTGCCCTCTTTCAGTAACAAAATGTAACTAATCGTGGAATCCTTTGAGTCACAGGTGAAAGGACTGGTGAAGCTTCATCTTCTGTTTTGTTTTGAAATTGTATGTGGTCCCATAGGAGGGTGACAGTACTATGGGATATTTTTTGTACATTGAGAGGCTCGAGCCTTTTACTAGAGGGGCTGTGATAGGTTGAGGGAAACAAGACAGTGGTCTAACCCCTTTCTGCATAGTGATCTCATGGGGCACCAGCAGATTTCTAACATGGGACAACTCAGTGATCCCGTGTTTGTGAAACTGACAGAAATTAACTGCTGTGTGGCAGCTGGCTTCAGCAGGCTTCTTACTTGACACTAGTTGGCATGGAAGATGTAGAAGGAAAGAGAAGTTAGGCTTTCTGGCCAAATACTGTGTTGCCTCTTGTTTATTTACTGTTTGTTTTCTATAGCATCCGTGTTATCTCTGTGTTAGTATATTGGACTGATTCCTTTAAAAAGCACATTGCTTAAATTTGTCCTTAATTTAATCATTTATATTTCAAAGTACTTGAAGAAGTACTTTAATGTGCATGCTATCAGACCTGCTATACTATTTTATTCAAAGACCTCCTTAACTATCTTCTGCATTTACATTGCAATTAGCAGACAATCACCCTATCTCTGCATTCTTCGCTGCTGACATTTCCCCTCTTAAATCTGCCAAAGGGCAGAATTCCTTGGAAGTAAGTGGTTTCTGAAAAGCAGGCACCCCCCTGGGAGCCCTTGTGGTCAAAGTGTGCGGAACTATTTCAAACACCTGTGGCAACTTTAATCCTTGATGCTAATAAATTAAGCGCAGCAGACGTGGAAGTTGTCCACACCTAGGTTTGAGGATCAGTAAACTCCTTTGGGTGACTGTCACAGGAAGTTAACTTGTTCTTGCAGATTTAGCTGCTTTTGTGAAGTCTTGATTCTAACCACATCGGTTTGAATTTGGAATGCTCTTCTTAATTTGCTGCTTATGTTCTTACCTAGATCAGAAGGCTTCTGCCTTCAACTAAAATAGTTGGTGCTGAGATCGAAGACCACGGTCCTGAATGTAGGATACCTCTATTAATTAGCCTTTCAAATGATTCCATAACAGTTCTTAAATGGCATCTAAGAAAAGGCCAGAAAAAGCTTCTTTCTGAAAGCAGGAATGTCTTTATCCCCTGACATCCCATATCACACCCTGTTGTCCTAATGATTCCAAACTAGAATTTATGTAAGGCGCACCATTTAACTTTCACAAATAATGAGCAACATGAATGTGGCATCAGACATATTCCTTGGCAGTACCTCAGGATGTGCTGTCCCCAGTCAAGATGCAACGGGTGCTAAGAAAAGCCTTTTTCTCATCATAATATGATAAGGAATGAAGTTAATTCCAGTGAAGATTTGAATGACTTGTGTTTTAAAACACACTCAAAGTAATCAAAACCACAGCTCCAGTATCTTCAGCTGATTTTTGTTCTTTACATCCTTTGTGCTGTGTCTTTGTTTCGTGTCTCAATTTCCCACAGTAGACAGAGCAGATCCCAGCTGTTCTAATGTGTATCTTCCAGACTAAATGTAGGATCTGCCACTTTGCAGTGAATTTCTTTGGCTTTTGTGCTGAGTGAGGCTTCTCTGCAGGGCTGTGGCACTGGAAACAGATTTGATGTGGGTAGAAGTACAATTATATCTTGCAGGATTGCAGTGTTGTGCAATGGGGCCTTTGACTAGATAATAATGAGATCTCAAATGCCACGCAGCTCCTCCTGTAACAGCACACAGATTAGGTTTTTTTTATGGTGAGTGAATTCTCACCAACTCTGTGGTATGCTACATTCCAGCAACCTTTCCCACTTTCCTCAGTCTCCTCAATTGCTCATTTCTTCTTGCATCTTTTTGTGTTTGGTGAGTTCTTTTGCTTTAAAAAAACTTTTGCCTTTAAAAACTAAGTTCATTTATGTCACTAGCCTACCTTGGGATTTTAAAATATTAATTAATTTATTTATTTTAAGTCAGAAGTTTACTTTTGGTCCCAGGGAGAATGCATGCTGAACTGTACAGGGTGGAGGAAGAGTTTGTGTTGACATGAAGCTCTGCAATAATTCACAGCCTTGCCTGCAGGAGGTGTGCAGCAAAATTCTATTTAGAATTGCTTTATGGAAGAAACAGCATTTGAGTTTTGGGGAAGAACGTATTGTTTTGTGGTTGAATTTTGCTCACTTTCTTTAATTCATTTAGTATGGTGAAAATTACCATAATGTTTACTTAGTTTTTGCTTGAAAATTGATTTAGAGCAAGCAGCAAGTTGTTCCCCTGTACAAATTACTTATAGCTGGAACCATTGGCAAGGGTTTCTTGTGGATTCCAAAGAAATATAGAAAAAAAATTCTGTTCTTTTTCAGCAGAAAATAAAAAATATCGTACAACCTAAAAGTTTTCATAGCTTTCACCTGGTGGACTACTTTTTAGAGTGAACAGATTCAAGAATGGTGACAATGTGATAAATTATGCCAGCCTTTCCCAGCACAGTTGTGTGGTTCTATAGCAATTGAGACTGTCCTTCCATTAAATTGCTTTAGAAAGTGGGGAAGCCTACATTTCTTATTGTAGTGCATTTAATCTGCTGACACATTTCCCAGTTCAGCCACATTTTCAGATAAACTGTTTGTGCTTTGCAGGTGAAAAACCGTATCAGTGTGATTTTAAGGACTGTGAGCGAAGATTTTCTCGTTCAGACCAACTCAAACGGCACCAAAGACGACACACAGGTATGCTGGCAATGCATCTGTACTGTTTAAAAGAGTTTGTATCCCTATTTAAATTGGAATCCAGAAAGTGTACTTCTAAACTTCTGATGTATCTGCTAATGCACCATGCCAGTAGTGACAAATTATTGAAGTTCACTTTGGGAGGGGGTTGTAATGTGTTGGGTTTTTTTGTTGTTGGCATTTAAGCACTACTTTGGTTGCATATGTGACCTTTTTATCCAATTACCATCTTTTTGAAATAGATTTCTAAATGAAACTGCTTGCTATATAGTATTCCAATGTAATAAATCTACTGTTTTTTAAAGCCAGAGAGCTCTGCGAGGAAGAGTTGCCAGTGAGTAACCAGATAAATGCTGCTGTAGATGTTTTGATGTTTGTGTGGCAATGACACTCTGTGAATGCTGCACACATCAGCATGAAAGGCTGGTGAACTTACTGGGCGCTTCCATGTGGAGAGCAGAAGGGAGAAGGAAAAGCCATAGCAACTAAAGTACCTAATTCAGCAAGACACCTAATTCTAGATTTCAGCCTTTCTAGAAGGGTTCTAGGAGTAGCAAGGAGAGAAACGTCAAATATCTGGCTGGTTGGATTATACTGGAATGCAATTGACTAAGAATAGCCAGGAAAGTGTATAGCAGATGTTAACATCCAGTGGAGAAGGCAGCAGCAGTCATGATCAGGACCGAATCCTGCCTACATTCTACAATCCTTCTTGGTGAATCACTTACTAGGTTATCATTTACTCGTATTCTGAGACAGCCAAACTATTTGTGAGTTCATTCCAAATTCATCACATTTTTTTTATGCTTGATATTTTTTTGAAATATCAAGACAGCCCATTTCAGCATTTCTGGAGTTCCTAAAGGTCTAGATTAACAGGCTAGACAACTGCTCTTCTTAAAATCACAGAAAGAAGATGGTGATGACCCTGGCCCCTGCCTGGGAGCTGAAACATGAGTGCACCCTGCATGGGACATGAGAAGTTTCAGAATAGGACCACAAAAATCCAGACTTTTGAAAATTCAGAAATAGCTGATGTCATTCAGCCTTCTAAAAGGTGTTGGGTTCTAAAAATAGATTTTTTCCTCTCTCCAGGGGTGAAACCCTTCCAGTGTAAAACCTGTCAGAGAAAATTCTCCAGATCCGATCATCTGAAGACTCATACCAGGACTCATACAGGTAAAACAAGTGCGTAAACTTTTCTTCACATTTATATTTCATTATTTTTTATAAGTTTAAAATAATATTGTTGTAAATTACATGACTAGAAAGTTTCTTAACAAATATTGACTATTCTAAACATCAGAAATAATTTCAGAGTGTGCTGGCTTACCAGTGTGACTATATTCCCTAAATATCATGGTCACTTTTTACAATGGGATTTAAGTGACTTTTGAAACTATGCTTTCTTTTTTTCATGAAATTTCAGCTTGGTAAAATATATTCTGTTAGCTATAGTGAAATGAACATCATGGCCTCAGCCCACAAATGTCAACTCCATCTATTGTGTTCCCTGAAAAAACCTACAAGAAAGAAATTTTAATTCCAGCTCCAGCTGAAGGTCTGTAATCTAAAGTATTCATGCCTACCTGTGCTTTTCCTAAGTGTCACTTGAGCCTAATGCAGTGTAGCACGGCAAAGATCTTGCTGCTGCTGCTTTGTAATCTCTCCAGAAGATGAAAGGAGTTCCTCTTGCAAACTCATACGGACAGACGCTGAAGTAAAAGCTTACTCAGATATTCAAGGACCTTTGTGCAGAAACTATAATATTTCATAGCAATACATGGAAAAAAAACAGCAGGCATTTTAGTCTACTCTGCCCTCATGTAAATATAAACACCATTAAGAAGCAACTGCAGTGTCATCTGTATTTTAAGCTTTAGAATTATTCTTGTGAACTGACACTTTCTGTTCCCTTCCACTACATTGGCAGTATTTTTATGAAGTAGTTGTTTACCAAGCATTTTGTCATGTCATTAGACATCACAGTATTTGCCATACTGAGTTTAACTTTTTAGATTCAGTTTCTCTGCTGATCGTCAAGGAGCTTGAAAATCCTTTTTCCTGTGCTAAGGATTCTTTCTTCTCTTCATGACCATAAAAACACATATTAAAGATTTTCAAAAATAAATAAGAAATTTTCGTAAAGGAAGCAATTCATCTAAGAATAATGGCATTTCCTGTGGCACCAACTGGATAAATACATCAAGCAGTGGCAATATCAGCATTTGCAACTTGCAGAAGGTAAAGAGCATGGCCGTATTGCTCAGTTCTCTTTGCAGCTCATGGTGAATGGCAGGACCTGGGTTTGGTGCATGTACATAAAGAAAAAAAATATTTTCTTAATCATCAAGAGGTAACATTCTCACAGAGACAAAATGGCAAGTGGTTACCACGTGTTAGGAAGTTAGGAGGAACTACATTCCCCTTCACATTTTACCAGTAGCTGATCTGCTAATTCATGGAAGGACTCTGTACGTTCCTGACTTCAGTAATTTTTTACCCTTGGCCAGCTAAATCAGTGGAGAATCACTTTCTCCAGTGAAACTGATCTCCCCATTCTAGTTCTTCCTTGCTCCATGCAATCCAAGCCCACACTTCCCTTGTTGAAAGCAGCTGCCCTTGGGCACTGATGGCCTCATAGGCCCTCTGGCTCAGGTTCTGCATGAGCTCTGCACCCAGTTGCTCCTGCTGTGATGACGCTCCCATCGGCAGTTGGATGTTGTGCTCTTCTGACTGTAAAATGCACATAACCTGAGAGGAACAAGCATGAGAGATGGCTGGCAATTCTTCATGTCCATCTTGCCCTGTAGCTTCATTCCTTTCTTTTTATGTTCTCTAAGTCTTGCAACAAAATACTTGATTAACTTGTTAACTTGTTCCATGATTTTGACGAAGCGTAGTGCAAGTGACTTTTATCTGTTGTGGGATTAAATGTAAGTCAGTTGTTAAACTATTTGCTCTCTTGTCTCCACAAGCAAGCTTACTGTAAAAGCAGTCTTAGTTGTAAAAAAGCAACAGAAGAATCCAAAAGAAAAGCTCCACACATCCGTATACATTTTTAGCAATCAAAAAGTGACTTCTGGAACCTTTACAGGGAAGCTGCATAAGGTAGTTTGTGCCCAGCCCAGAACTAATAGGTAGTTGCCCCTGTCATGAGTGGACAATCAATCATGCTGCTTGTGAAACAGCAAAACTGCATGCTGCTTTTGTGGTGGTAGTTTGGTGAAAATCTGGCCACAGCTCACATCAGGTCACAGGATGATATTGCAAATGCAGCTGAGATGAAAGAAGACCACTTGATATAATCTGTGATTTTTATCAGTAGCTCTGGCACCTTTCTCCTATACTGTTTTACGCACTCATGTGAGATGGCTGATGCTTTTGCCAGCATATTTGTCACGTGGATAAAATAGATTTTACATAGGTTCCCCTGCTTTATATGATCTGTTTATTGCATGGGATTTTGCAAACAGAAATACGCAACACTGGTGCCACTCCCAGATTCATTTTTGCCTGAATTTGGATGTTTGTGAAATGTACAAAGTGTGAGGCAAAGAAGAGAAGAAGACAGCTGAGTGAGCTTGTACCACCCTACCCCAGGGTGTCCTGAGATAGAGAGTACGAGGTGTGTAAGACAGCATGGAAGTCCTGTCCCAGAGCTGAACCTCCTATAAAATACTGCATCTATCTTGAGCTGGGGGGAAGAAAAGGCAAGCCTAAAAGAAACAGGAGTCACCGGGCACTGCTCTGAGCTAATGAAAGCATTCCAGCAGCATTCCTGCAGCATCAGACACAAGGCCTGAAATTCCACATGATGTTGTAGAAAATCGAGACAGCAGATTAAACTGTAAAAAGGTGATGGCATTTCTTGTCAAAATTGCAAGCACTTTGTTTGGGGTCATTTTTAGTGGCTATTATTTATACTCATGGGAATGTTATAAAAATCTTAAGTATTCTGGTCCTTTAAAATCTCCTGTAGAAAGGATCTAGTAGTGGGAAACTTTCAGTCTGGTTCAGCAACTTCATGTTGACTGCTGTTGCTTCACTCACCCTCACCACCTTCACCATCACAGAATAACTTTGGGCAAAACTTACTTGAACTTGCAGGAAAAATTCTCCCTGACTAGAGGCCAAGCTCTAAATAATCACTGACAGTTCTCCTAGTGGCTGATAGTCAAAGGTGTGACCGAAACTTCTGTAGGTGCCAGAGTTACTTTTAAACTAGTTCATCCAAGAACTGAGAGTAACATATACGTGACACTAGGATGTCCAGTAAGGGCCTGTCTCCAGGAATGATCCACTGCAGAATGCAGTGCCTCACCTGCAAAGGCTGTGGCTAAACATCAGCAGAGTGAGCTGTAGGAAAGCACTGGGTGCTGAGGTGAGCAGTAATTGAGGGCACGGCCATAACCTCTCAGGATGGCCCAGCACACCTTTCCTGGTGGAGACCTGCCTAGCTTCTCACAACGCTACAGAAAGAGAGGGAACAGTGATATCCCAGGCAAGCTCTTCTGCCCAGTTAATAACAGGGTGTTTTGTTAACAGGTGAAAAGCCTTTCAGTTGCCGATGGCCCAGCTGTCAAAAAAAATTTGCCAGGTCTGATGAATTAGTCCGTCATCACAACATGCACCAGAGGAACATGACTAAACTGCAGTTGGCCCTTTAGGCATTTCAAACAAGTGAATAAACCAGATGGGACATTATGAGCTACTGCAAACTTTATCAGCCATCTTCGATCACCTCTGTCAGAGAGCTGCAGCTGTCTTCGCATCCCATTTGACACAAGTTAACTAAACAGTAGGATTCTGCTCAGCTTCCATTTGGACATTCAGAATTCCCTGTTCAATAACTTCAAAAGATTTTTATTTGCAATTTCATTTAAAAATGGGCAAGATTACCGCAGTTTCAAGATTGCTCTCAACTATGCTTACATTCTATAGGCGTTTCCAGTTTTCTGTTTCTATTTTTGCTTGAGCTGTTCTAGGTACATTTTACTGTTCTCTTTTTAGTCCCGCTGTGGGTAGGGTGAGTAGTGCCTGCTGAAGGTAAGCTTCACGCTTACTGCTTTCGTGCACATGCTGAAGTTTCCAAATGCTAGAACCTCTATCCTCACAAGATGAGACAGAACAATCAGCTGAGATACTTTTTGTAAACTTTGTAGTTGTACTGCCAAAGGGCAAGCTTTTAAACTCGGAAGCAATGCTTCTGGATTTCACAAATCAACCCTTTTTTAAAAGAACTTATTTCTAGAGCAGCTAGTGCTAGATGAACGAGAACTTCTGTATAGAAAATAAGAATCTTACCATTAAGTTAACTTGTTTTTTAAATAATCACATAATCGATCCCCCCCAAACTGTTTTATTCATCAAATAGCTCTATTTCTCTCTCTCTCTCTTTCTGTTTTAATGTATTTGTTTAAATTTATTCCATCATGAGATGCACAGATCTCCTTTACACAAAAGTGATTCCAATCATTGTAGACATTTGGGATTTGTTTACAATGTAAAGCCACACTGGTTATGTGGCTAGCAAGCTGTATAAACTTAAAACTGAACTTTTAATGGGGCTGGTCCAGGATCTCCATTAACAGATTACTCTTAAGATAAGTAACTTAAAAAGACTCTTTGTCAAGTATATGTGAAAAAGACATTATTAGTGTAAGGAAATATATTGTTTCAGGGTTTTGGGAGGAGGGGTTTATTATTTACTTTCAATTGCTTGAAATTGTGTGTATATATATATATCTGATAATGTATTGCTCTTAGACATCTAAAATTAGAAACTGTATAAATATTAGATGCATCACTGTTCTGATGTTGTTGCTGTTACAAACTATTGATAACACTAAGAATGTAACCTGCATTTTTCACTGAGCTTTCAATTAAAGCCCATTCAAAGAGAAACAAATGAGAGTCCAACAGATGTCTTGTTTCATGTCTGGTATTAAATTTCAAATGCCCTGTCCAATAGAATCCTTTTTTTTTTTTTTTTTTTTTTTTTGTATATAAAGGTACCACCAGCACTGATGACCACTAGTTAACCTGTCCAGGTCTTGACCACAATTTATCCATCTCACTTGGGAATCATACTGGCAGCAGAAAACAGTGTCAAGTTTCATATTGTGCTATAAAACAGTTGCTTCAATCGTTCGTCTTCTTACAAAACTATTCCTTTTCTTGAAACCTGTAAGATTTGTACAGGAACTTCACAGAACAGTAAAATCCACTTTATAAATAGCAGTATTGGCCTTCTGTAGAACTGTGCTGAAACCGTGAGCACAGATAACTTCTAAGATTAGGATGCCGTGCAGTGACTTTTACTTGAAAGTTAATTTAGAGTTAGGGTGGCTTAAATCAGTTCAGCAGGTTGAAAAAGACAGTCCTTCTTACATGATGAAGTGTGAAAATGGAGATAAAAAAAAATTATTGTTTCTTTGTCATACTGCCTGCTTTTCTTTGGAAGTAAGTACAGCCTGCCTGAGAGCCCTTTGACCTTGCAAAATATTTGTATCTCTTCAGCAAAAATCTTTAATGTATCTTGCCAAGCTTTTTTCTCTAATGTACACAATGGAGTTCTATGATGGGTTGAGCTTTCTCTCTTAAAGTGCAGCTGCATCGTCAAGAAAACTCAACAGTTAATTCTTCAAGTCCTCTTTTTCGCTGGGGTATTGCATCACTGTTAATTACTGTTGGGGTACTGTGACTCATTTGTATCAGTCAACTTTATCTTTTGCTGCCAAAAGACAGCATCTCTCTGGAGAAACTCATAACAAGTGTGGCAAACATCAAATAGTTGGAGTAAATGGTGTATATAAAACTGCACAGAATTAAAAAATAAAGCAACTCCTCCTTCTTTCTCGAGCGAAAAGTTCAGTCGTAATAACAATGTCCTCTGATTTACCCAGCAGTGTTCTGCAACTACAAAACAATGTTCTCCAGCCTGCACCCAAAATAGAGAGCTGCCAGAAGTGTTTATACTGAAAGCCAAAGAAAGAAAAATCAGCCTCCAGTTGTGCCTGCATTAGTCAAACATAAATAAAACTATCTTTTGTGAAATATAACCAAAACTCTGCTGCAGCAGAGACCAGGCTTCCAGTGACCTGTAAATAACTACATCCATACCTTTTCTGCTTGGTGAACTGCATGCCAAATAATAATAATGGCAGACGGCGACAAAAAATGAAGTGTGGGGTGATGAGTGACAGAGTATGTCCCTTCGTTTTTGCTGTCGCCCCTTTTTCAATGAAAGCACTTGCTGCTGTCTGCTGTTTGATGCTCACTACGCACTCCGACACTCTGACTACGGTGAAGACAGCGGTGACGTTTAGAAGGCCTTTGTTATGTTTATTCCTAGTCATTTTAGAGTCTTTGTCATGAGGCCTCTTATGTCTCCCCCTCTCTTTTTTCCCGTTTCCAAGGTTCTATCAGGAAGGTAAGCCACCTTTATTGAAGTGCTTTACGACATGAATTTCTGAGAAGCAGCCCCCAGATGCTGTTTCTTGCAACATGCAATTCCTCATTTTGTGGCAAGCAGAAACTGCTCAGCAGCCTGAGTTTCTGTGGGCTTGATCTCCATGTGAAAGATGAGGGGACTGCACACTATTCTATCTTACAAGTATCCTTAGCTCTCTGGAAAATTTTCAATCCCACAGTTAACAGCCTCTGATCTGTGTTCATAAACTGAAACTAGTCAGCAGTGTTATTTTGGCTGATGGTTAAATGTCTACTGTGACTGACACTTTTTCTGTTCTGTAGCTTTCGTCGCCCCCAGAACACAGAATGTTAGTGACATAAGTAGCACTTGTGCTTTTTCTTATCACTTCATGAGGTACAATACATGTTGGGTAGGAAAGGGAACGTAATGTCAGTTCTCTCTGATGTTGTCAGCCAAGATTCAAGGATTCCCTTGCACCAATTTTTTAAGGTAGATGAATCCAGCTAAGTCCAACTCTCTGCTTGCTGAAAACTTAAGACTTAACATGGCTGGATTGTAACCACCTGATCATACTCTTGGTGCACGTCGTATTCTTTATGAGTACTGACCAAAAAGTAGGTCCCAAGACATTACTTTGCTGCAGTAAAGCAAACAACATAAAGGCAGTCCTACTGTTCAGGCATTCCTTCAAGGGAAGCAAGGGACTCGCAGAGAAGAGCTCTTTGTTTCTCTTTCTGTGGTGATTTAGGCAAGTTGTTCATTTTAGAAACCAATCCAACTTGGCCCAACTGTTTCAGGATGTTAGTAGGATTCATTAAACAGCTCCACCAACCAACCTTACAGCTACTGAGAATGGGTCCTGAAGACACAGGTAGGTGCTTTAAACCAGTGTTTCTTCCTCCCTCTCCTTCTACAGGCAGGCACTGAGAAAACTGTATCACATGCAGTGTTTTCCAATCATCAGTGTGACCGGACAGTAAAACCAGTCCAAGGCTTTGGGGTGGACTGAGGGCCTCCAAGAAGATACCTGCAGCTCTGCATCTCGGAGCTGCCTGCACCTAGTGAGGTGGGTACACAAAGGCAGCCAGCTGGCAGAGATTTGTAGCCAGAAGGTCAGAGCTGTTCTGCCCAGTCCTGCTGGAGCCCTGCTTGTACCTCCCCTAGGGGCAAGAATGGGCAGGGAAAATCACTCAGCATTTGAGCTGGGGAACTCTTCCACACTTTAGGAAACTGCTCCCTCTGTGTGTTAACAAAGATGTCATTAAAGGCAATGTATGCAGTTCAGAGTGGCACTAATGGACAAGAAGATCCAGCTGCAATATTTGGGAAGATCCAATAAAAGATTCGTTAGGATCCTTTTAGTTACTGGAAGTCCAGATGACACAAAGGAACCTACTGAAACTGAAGATGTGGTCACAAAAGTGGTAAGTTAAAAAAAAAAAACAACAAAACAAACCCCAAACCCAACCCCACTGACACCGTTCTAAAAATTAGACAATTAAGAGTAAAACCAGGAATGTAGCCAGAACTATTCCACCTCAAATAATAAACACAAGGATAAGTTGCCAAGTGAGGTCAAAGAAGCAAATGGTAAAGTGAGTTTAAGAGACAGCTAGACACTTTTATGGGGAGAGAGAGGATTGAAGGATACAGTGACAAAACCGGGGGTAGAGCTGAGATAACTCAGAGGACAGGCACGGTGGGCCAATAGCTCAGAGTGGGCTCCGAAGCCCAGCTCCAGTGAGGAGCAGAGTGGCTATGGGTGCTGTGGGGAGATAGATGTACCAGGGCTGTCTGCAGTGCCCTATGAGGGATGATGGGAAGCTGGCAGAGCAGTCTGAGGGAGCTGAGCCTGGCAGGTAGCAACGGGTGTACTCTCAGGTGCAATGGCTGTAACTGCTGCCTCTGGGTTCCCTACTGAGATGCCCTGGCAGACTTGCTAAAAAAGCTTATTTTTGAGGAGGTCCTACCTGAGCAGCTCGTTTTGTAGTAAGTTATCAGTGCAGAGCTCATACTGAGACACCAAAAGGGAAAAAAAAACAAACCAAAAACACAACTTTTTTTTTTTTTAGTTTTCATGAGAGACTACTTGTAATATAGGAAACAACAGGGCTGGCTAGAATATGATTCAAATGAGTCAAAGACAAAATATACAGAGATTATGTTCTTCTCTGCTTGTACGAGGCTGCATATTTTCACGTTGACGTTGCCAGCACAGCCTGTGTCAATTCCCATAAAATATCCTGGCAGAACTTCCGTGGCTCCAAATAGCAGCGTGATGAAGCTGGGTTTTAAGTGCTCGGTTTGGCCATCAGCTAGATAATCTTTAAGGTCCCTTCCAACTCAAATCATCTCTGCACTGACGAGCTGATGTGGCTCCACCAACACAAAGAGGTTCTTAAACAACAGTGGTGAGGGAACCAAGACAAGCATGGCCACTGGAAATGAGCCAGAGCATCAATTAATTTTAGTACAGTTTTCCATAGAGTGTGAAATCCAATCAGAAATGCCAGCTTTGAATCCTCAAAGGGCTCTGAGTGTTGAGGGTGGTCTGAAAGGGGGTATTCTTGTGGAAGTCGCACATAACACAGGCAGGTGTTGGGCTAAGGACGGTAGGAGCTCAGGAAAATGCTGCCATAAAGACTTTGCAGGCCATCCGTAAGGTGTTCAGATGCACAGGTTTAAAGGCACTGAACATCTTGAATGATAAAAGCACAGTCCCAGGCAAGGCTTCTTTAATCCCGATGAATAAATGCGTATCACATAGGTGTAAATATTATTTAATAGCATCACTGGGCTTTCTTGCTTTGCTTTGTTTTTATTTTTAAGTGAAACAGGCTGCTTATATTCTGGGTAGCTCTTGCAGAGCCAAGATCTTAATCTGCAAAAATAAGCTGAACAGAAATGGAAGCTGCCTGATGATCCTGGCTTGAAAGGCTAAACGGATCTTGTACAAAATGAGGTGCCCTCCCCCAGCATTAAAAAAAACTCTTTTGGTGCAAGAGGATTAAAAAAAACCACACAGGGCACTGAATCTCCTTGGTGTGACAGTGCAAGAGGGAAATACAACTGTATTTATTTTCGGGCTGTTTCTTTTTATGCCTCATTCGCCTCTGAGTCATGTCCCAGAACTCCCATTCATTTGAACGAAATGTTGAAAAACACAACTTGATAAATAAATAAATGAATAACCTCACTGCCTGGAAAGAAATCCTGCCCCACAGTTTCTTGGGAAACTGTGTGTCCTCGTGAATGTGCTCCCATAGAACTATTGTACGAGTAGCCACGTCTGCTTAATGTTCCCTCCTGGAAGGGTCTCTGATATTTTTAGCTGCATCATTGAGCTTTTTAGGTTAAGCTGTGGGCCTCGTGCTGCAGCAAAGGTACACAGTAAAGGCCAATAAAGAGGTTTTTATCTGCTGCGTGGTAAGAAATCCAGCCCAACAAAGAACTCGGAAGCTTTTTCATTTTCA